TTGTGGGGGGGGGGGGGGGCAGCTATAGCAACATGAGTTCCAGAATTTTGGGACCAACGGAGTTGTCTTGTGTTATTACGGACTACCGGCTCCGTTACTAACGTCACGTCAACCTTGCAGCAGTGAGAGACAGTTCTACGGTTTTCGCAGGGTTGTTTCAGCTCTCCGTGGTTTCTTTTGTTAGCCCGACAGTCCGACATATTATACTGTCAACAGTGATTGGGGTACAACAATTTACCATAGTGATAGTGCAGCTGATGACAGACTTAGTCAGAGTTTTAAATTGGATATTTTAATTGTAGTTGTAATTGTATTTATCTTTATTTTATTTCTTCTAATATTCACGAGAGTTTCTCGATAAATTGAGTATTCCATTACAAATGTTTATCAATTCCAAGATTGACACATGGCCATAGTTGTGATAAAGCTATTAAAATATCTTGAGAGAAAAGAGTCATGGTACTATGAATTGAAATTAAAAGGGTTATGGCTTAATCTAGGGGTGTAAGTGACTCAAGTTGACTCGTGAGTTGGCTTGAGCTCAGCTCGATAAGTGGCCAGTGAACTAACACGATAAGCAAACAAGTCAAGCTAATGCTAGCCCCGCCTCGACTCATTAGCTCGTGAGTCAGCTCGTTTATGAAAATATTAATGTAATATATACTCAAAAATATATTAAATTTAAAAACTTTATCTTTTAAAGTATCAAAAATATATAAAAAAATTATAGTTTGTATTTTATATTAAGTAGTTTTTATTATTTTTCTCCTAATGGCTTATTTTATTAAAGCACAACCTTAAATTAATATTATTTTTTCTCTTTTATAATAAACAAGTCTGCTCGTAAGCCAACTCAAACTCGTAAACTTAAGCTTAAGCTTGAACTCGATAAAGTTTAGCAAGCTCAAGCTCAAACCAAGGTTAGCTCGAGCTTGACTCCACTCTCTTACACCCCTAGTTTAATCCAATTGGATACCAAAAATTTTGTTTAAATTTCAGAGTAAGAGATACATTTTACATGTATGATACTAAATGCATGAAAATAAAGTTACTCCAAACTTATTGAGGTTTGCTAAAAACTTTATAATAGACTATTATAAAGTTTCTAATATGATTGTGATTTAGTTCCACGCTCCTAGGAGAAGCACATGCAAAGGAGATTTGCATTTGCCCACTTATGGGCCTAGTGAGTTACATTGAACATTTATAAGTCAAAATTAGGCACATGGTGCATCTTGGGGATTGATTACTTGATTATTTTATTTTGAAAATTAATTTCAGATTAATTATAATTTTTATTAGTCGATAACCGTGGCTTTTTAAATAGCTTCAAGAGATGGATGCACCTAACTGCTAATTGCAGTTGATTAAATATTTAAATTATAAGTTGCATCTTCTCATCAGTGATCCTCGAAAAACATTTTAATCAATAGTTAGTTCAACTCATACGTAATTCTTTGTAGGCTAAATAAACCATACGTGAAAGTTTTACATGTAGTTTTTCACTTGAAAAAGTTTAATTAGTTTAATTTATCCAGAAGATAAATTCCCTAGTATTATTTCTTGATGAGAAAAAATCTCTCTTTCAGGGATGTAATCCAACATGTCTAATAGCAACCACTAAAATTTAAAATTCCTCAACAATTAATGCACCAACTAATTTATAACTTCATAACGAGCCGATCAAATCAATTTTTTTTTTATTAGTATTCAATTAATAGATATTTTTTGAGAGAGTACTCTTAGATGGTTTGGTCACATCAAACGTCGACAATCTTATGATCTGATTAGGAAAGTAGATGTTTAGATTTGACTTACATTAAAAAAGACAGAGGTAGACCTAGAAAGACGGGCATATTGTATAAAAAATTATCTTAAATTATTATAATTAAATGAAAATATGACAATAGGATGCAATGAAAAAAAATTATTCATGTAGCCGACCCCGCTTAGTGGGATAAAGGTTTGTTGTTGTTGTTGTTGTTGTTTGATTAATAGATATAATCAAAGATGCTACTTAATACAGACTTACATCCCTTGATTGGTGCTTAATACGCTAATTAGATTTTATAATTTTGTAATTAGTGATTAACAAATCCTTGACTTATATAATGATGACATCCAATAACTAATTATGTCAAGAAAGACAGAGGTAGACCTAGAAAGACTTGGGCATATTGTATAAAAAATTATCTTAATTTATCATAATTAAATGAAAATATGACAATAGGATGCAATGGAAAAAATGATTCAGCCGACCCCGCTTAGTGGGATAAAGGCTTGTTGTTGTTGTTGTTGTTGTTTGTTGTTGTTGTTGTTGTTGTTTGATTAATAGATATAATCAAAGATGCTACTTAATACAGGCTTACATCCCTTGATTGGTACTTAATAGCCCAATTAAATTTTATAATTTTGTAATTAGTGATTAACAAATCATTGACTTATATAATGATGACATCCAATAACTAATTAATTAATCAATCTTTAATCATTGGATGTAATCTTCCATGCTACTTGAATGGAAATCAAAAAAATTTCCTCTTGATATTGTGCTTAAATAATCAATGCTCAATGGGAAACTCATATTAAAAAACAATTAATTAGTTCCTAATCAATCTTTGGCTGAATTATGATAGCCTTAGAATAATTAATCTCCTCATCAATGCTTGCTTATTCCTCTAAACTTCCCTTCTACATAACAAACCACATGCTTGATTACTATCTATATTACTTTTAACAAAATTAACGATCCATTCAATGATTAGAGCCTGAAGACAAAATTATAATCATTAAATTAACCCTATTTACAAACATCTAATCTTCATTCAAACAATTTTCCACATTAACAGGCATTACAGATTAAAATCCAATTGATTTATGTATCAGAACTTAAGCAGCATTACAGATGCATGAATATAGGATTTCATTAGTTGAGATAAGAAACGCAAAACAGGATCGATTAAAAGAAAACTTATGAAAGCGACGGCAGTGCCCAAGTTCGTTCTGATCCACAGAACCAAAAAGAATTCATTCCCCGCTTGATTTCAAAATAATATAGGAGAAAAACATGAAATCCCAACAAAGACCAACAATCCAATGCGGGATAAGGATAGATCATACTCACCACGGCGGGCTTCTCGGGATGCCCAATGTCGGCAAGAAGATAGGTGTAGGTGGATGACTCCTTCTCAAAGAGCTGCCTAAAGAGAAGCCTTCGCGATGTCTCTGTAGCGGTGATATACGACATCATGGTCACCGATCGCAGTTTCGATTCGAGTGAGAAGGCTAGGGTTCGCCTAGACCCGAAGGGAGTGAAATGGGAGAGAGGACGGAGGCCCCGATGGAGGGAGAGGTGGAAGCGAAGCGGGAGCATAGTTTCTATCTATGCCGCGCGCAATTCATGCTGACCTCTGCTTCGGATTTTGTGGGGTGAGAGAGATGAGATTGACAGACTCTTTCTTCTTCCGTGAGCTTCGAAGTAAATATATGAAAAATTGGCAGTTTCGAAGGATCGGGATTCTACGAGGGCATAGCGCGGCGGAGGAACGCCACCGGAGTTTTGCCGGAATCAATTTCTAATAGAAGGTTATAGTGATCAAGCTTGATTTTGTGGAAAAAATATGTACTCATGTAATAGAATGTTATAGTGATCTAGCTTGATTCATAAAGACTAGCTTCCAATGAGTCACTTGTATGATCTTATTCCGTCATACATTAAACTATTTAAAATTTGTATCCAGTGCCCCGTGAGATGACATAAATATTATGCATATATGTATCTCACTGAATATTATGCATGTACGTATCTCAAACACAATGTGCCAAAGTTTCGGATGTAATACACAATGTGCCAAAGTTTCGGATGTAATTCCTTGCAGCGACTACTCTCATTTGTTGGACTTGAAGAAATGTTGCAACCCTTTTCCACTTATGATAAAACGATTCATATTTGTAATAAAAAATTTATAATGGCGGCTTGGCCGCATGGCTTTTTTCCTTTCATGATTACTTTTTTCCTTTCATGATTTCTCTACATAAAAAATCTTGGTGGCTTCTTTTTTTTATTTCTCATTTGCGTGTGTTTTGGATTTCATACTGTGTTGGGACACTAATTATTACTTCACCACCGCAGATTTTCTAGCATGCAACAACACTTAATCAATCTTTAACACGTGCGAGTGTGCAATTGGTTTTCTTCGACAGACTAAACTAAAAAAAAATGCAGACACGAATCACGTGAAAATTTAATTTATTTTCTAATAACACGTCAGCCCGACTAGCACCAATGATTTAATAATGACATAATAATATTATAATTCTATACACAGACACCATAATTAAAGCATATGAGTATAACCTTAATACATCCGCCGATATTTATATGCAATTATGAAATTGTGATAATGAGATGCATAAAAATTATAAAAATAATAATAAATACTGAAAACATAATACGAAGTAATTAAACATTAGTCTATTTAACAATAAAAAAAGACCAATTACATTAAAAAATAATTACAAACAAGAAATAAAACAAATTGCAAAAACATTAAAAGATTTTAAAAACATGTCTCACAAACTTCAAAAAAACTATGAATCCAATAAAAATAATACTATTCTCGATCGTTCGATAACGATAGAACATTTCTGTATACATAAATTGTCATTAGAGAAACATTCCAATCCTTTTTCAATTATTTGTACACGTAAATTTATAATGAATCATTCTGACTTGACTATATCTCGTATTTTTTTCAATCAGAAAACAATATTTGATTTCTCCGCTTGTTATTAATTTTAAAAGCAAATTGTATTATATTATTATTTTTTATTTTTATTTGAGAATGGCGAGCTTGGTAATACAAACCATTTCCCCAAAGAAATAAACCCTAATTGGAGCCGCCGCCTGCACCTCCACCTCCCATGGGCTTCGACGTAGGCATCGTCCCCTACAATCCCGATGGCTGGGGTCCCCCAGATACCCCCGCCATCCCCCTTCTTCCCCGCCGCGCCGGAGCTT